CTTGATCATGGTAGCAACTTGATCGGGCGTCTGCTGCTGAAGTGTGACTCGCTGCGAAGGTGCAACTGTCAGCAGTTCAACAGGATAGTAGCTATGCGGATTGCGCCGCTCCGACACTGTGAAGATTCCTGGGCACCTAGGATTGTAATGAACATTCCTACACTGTTTACGCAGGCGCTTTCATTCCATTTTCATTGGACACAACGGACAACAAAAGTACATAAAACGCACTTCAATTGGATGTTGTAGTGCTTTTTGAAGTACTGCTCAACGGTGCATTGTCCGCCATCAGTGGTCTGGAACCTGCAAGATATTTTTATGCAGGGACTCCCAACTGGTATACCGGCACTAACATAGTTGTAGGGGAAAACGAGAACAGGCCTGTCTCATGCACTTCGCTTGGAACCAAAGCGAGTGGCCAAGAGAGTCTCGCGAAGAAGACATATGTCCAACAAGTCCTTCGTTTGGGGAGGGGACACAGCTGCTGAGTGTCCCCTCTCCCCTTTCAACTACGTTGACATCGTATCCCCTTGCATGTGACAAGGCACCCATACAAAACTCACTTCAATGTATTGGCAGCAGCAGCAATGTTTCCAATCGGAAAAGTCCGCTGCTTCTTTCCATACGTTGTTCTGACATATAGACCTTAAAAACTTGTGTGTATTTCAAGTGATTGTGGGCATCTGACAGCCACTTCGCGCTGCGACGTTCGGTTGAGCGTTTGAGAAAGGAGAAGGAAGCGCGGATGGAGAAGAATGCTTGGCGGATCATACAAAATCCGATCGCAAGAAAGCAACTTGACCAACAGAACACACCTTTGATTTGCTTCAAGAATGTTTTCCTTATTGTACGGCTGCATTGCTGCCTTCACGGTGAATGTTGACTGGCCGGACCGTGGATCAATGAAAATGGACATTTGCGAGATTTTCTCGAGAAGATTTTGTTCATCCACATGGAAAGCTCCCTTGGTTACTAAACAAGCGTTCATTGCTGCACGTTAATTCAATCCCCTAACAAATGCTCACCATCTGTTACAACGAATGCGCTTCCTGTTTTTCCGCCTTCTCCCTCAAGAACCTTCACTGCCTTTGTCAAACCAACTCCCATATACTTCCCATCCATGAGGCTGGGCAGCTCCTCATCCCTGAGAAAATCGAAATCAAAAATACCATAAAAAAATCCTGCGATAGCCGAAAAGTTTAAAGAGTAAGAGTTCAATACATAAGTTTCAAAGTCCTACAAACTTCAGGTAGGGACAACTCTCTTCCCGGAAAGCTTCTTATACAGTTCTGCCGAAAAGCGAAAATATGAACTCCACTTGAGCTTACAAGAGTATGCAGTTCCCGATATACAATTTGACCTCTAACAGTATTCAATCACGCTGTTACACTTCCTGGACTGGAAAACAAGTGGCAAGCGTACACTTTGCGGATTTGCTCTTTCTACTTCTTGACTGCCCATTTCTGCTTGTTGACTGCCCAGAATAGGGGTACCTCCACATTTGCAAAGTATGTACGCATTCTAGCGCCTCCCGACAGCTCCCAGCTGCACACTCGGAAGACCATTAAAACCGCTCCAAAATGAAATTTCCAGAACTTGAAACTTGCGCTAGTCAGAAGCACTCGACCTTATCCATACAAGCAGATCGATGGCTGCCATTAGAAATTGCTGTAAATATCATGTTTGGGTGAACACAACAATTTACCTGAAGCCCAGTTTTGTATGATCATACAGGTAGTGAACACCACAGCCATAAGTCACGAATTGTTCTCTGAAACTACGCCATATCACGATCAGAGAACGACTGCTACAGATTTTTATACTGTATTTCTCTCGGTTTCTGTACATATCAGCGCATACATATTACATCAAATATCCTGCTATAAATAATTCGCCAAGTAAAAAGCTAAAGTAGTGTGTTGCGTGTGTGTGTGTGCGTGTGTGTGTGTGTGTGTGTGTGTGTGTGTGTGTGTGTGTGTGTGTGTGTGTGTGTGTGTGTGTGTGTGTGTGTGTGTGTGTGTGTGTGTGTCACGAAATTCATAGCACCCGTCGCAGTGAGCGTGGAACGTTGCGTAACTCGCTGGTGTTGTGTGTGTGTGTGTGTGTGTGTGTGTGTGTGTGTGTGTGTGTGTGTGTGTGTGTGTGTGTGTGTGTGTGTGTGTGTGTGTGTGTGTGTGTGTGTGTCACGAAATTAATAGCACCTGTCGCAGTATGGTGGAGCGTTGGTTTTAGGGAGAGGGAACATTGGCAGGTGACAGAAAGTTGACAACAGCTGATAGGATACGTTAAATAGGACCTGGAACGGGAGGGTCACCTAGGTCGTAACGCGGGTTACAGCAACAGTGGGACCTTGGTACCAAGAAATATTGTAGGGGGTGGGAGGGGAACACTATTGGCGGGTGACAGAAAGTGATAACAGCTGATGAGGCCTCGGGAAGATTAGGGTACTTAATTTCGTTTCGCAGGTTGTCGCCAAACAGAACCTTTAGGTTTTACTGAGTGATATAAGGTTGACTGGAGAACAATACTGGGCCGGGTTGCAGAAAGTGTAGCTGCTAAGATCCGTTAGAACGCCTCGGGGGGAAGCGAACGCAATTTTGCAACGCAGGTTAACCAGGCAACAGTGATGTTGCCTGAAGCGGTGCTTGACGTCTAAGCGGTTAGAACGTTTCTATGGAACCTTGCATGGCAGACCTAGGTAGCACTCGAATGAGCCTCGAATGCTGGTTACGAAAATGCAGATTAAAAGTGCTACGGGGACTCCCAGACGAGATCTGGGTGGTCAAAGTTTGCGAAAAGTCAGTTTTGGCTCGTAAGCGCTGCTGATCGATGTCTCGGCAGTGCCACCGTGGCCTTGAGGTAACGGTCTCGCTTTCAAGTCAAACGCTCGCGGGTTTGCATCCGGTTGGCGCGAGGATTTTTGCGTCGCTCCCTATAGGAGCTTAGGGCAAGTAGATCAAGTATCAAGTATATGACGACTCGATCTAGTATGGATTTGGTCATATCTGCCCTCTCTGAACATATTACCCATCCGACAATTCAAAGTTTTAGCGAGAAACTCGTTCATGGGAGATTTCGACCCCCTGAACACGAATATCACATCCTTCGACGAAAAAACGCTCGTCTGGCCAAATTGCGATTCTGGGCAAAACTTTGAATTGTCGGATGGGTAATATGTTCAGAGAGGGCAGATATGACCAAATCCATACTAGATCGAGTACGTCATATACTTGATCTACTTGCCCTGCTGGGCCTGTAAACTCGGAAGAAATTTGAAAATTAGAGTAAAAGCTCTTATAGGGAGCGATGCAAAAATTTTCGCGCCAACCGGATGCAAACCCGCGAGCGTTTGACTTGAAAGCGAGACCATTACCACAAGGCCACGGTGGCACTGCCGAGGCATCGATCAGCAGCGCTTACGAGCCAGAACTCAAACTTTGACCACCCAGATCTCGTCTGGGAGGTCCCCGTAGCACTTTTAATCTGCATATTCGTAATCAGCATTCGAGGCTCTATCGATGTACCTAGGTCTCCATTCGAAGTTCCATGGGAAGTTCAAACCATTCCCTTGTAAGGAGTTATCCAGGGGGTGGGACGAAAACATTGTCGGGCGACAGGAATGATACCAAGATTTAGGTGGTGAAACTGACAAGCATGGAGGAATTTGCTACACCGCTCACAACAACACTACGATCGATATGACCCCAGCATCACGATCTCAGTATTAAATACAACTCTATTCCTATTCCTCACTGCTTATCGTTAACGAAATAATGTACAACCGCTAAGCTAGATGTTGTGAACAGCAGCAATTGACTTAATCACTCTCACATAATTATCTTTCATCAACAACCTTAGCGAGGGCCATTCGAAGCGTTCTACTGCTGAGTGCGGGGTCCATCCCAGAGCGACGCTTTCAGAGTGGAGAATGCTTTCAGCAATAGATGCTTTTGCGCCTAATCTAATAGGCTGCTCGGTTATAAAAGTACCGATCGGATAGCTGGCTAACGCCGGCGCTCCTCCTTTTGTGATGCGGCAGGAGCTGCTGCTGCTTCCGAGTTTTGACGAGGTGGGCGCTGCTTTATTGGGCTACTTTTAGTTCTTGACTGATAGAGGATTCTCCTTTAAGCCGTATGGTTGCTCAGCGGCTCGTAACCCAGCGCACGTGCCAAATCAAGCCAGGCCATGCCATGTCACAGAAGGAGGAGCGAACGGCCGGCGAAGCTAGGCCATGTCACAGAAGGAGGAGCGAACGGCGGCAGCTGACAGTAAGTAAATAAATAATAAAAGAAAATGGCATGATACTAACGTCTCCATGTATCCTTTTTGCGACACTGCAAGATTCAGCACTTCGAGAATGCCTTTGTCACGTTCGCAGTCACGGACATTCACAGCTTTATTCAGATCATTTGAAGTCACCTAGAAGATTGCAGATCACTTGACCCGCCTCTTATTCATATGAAAGGAATACCAAGAAAAGCCGATCGCTACGACCACAGAGCCTCGGGCAAACTTGAAGCGACTGCTATTTCCTGGGATTAGGATGGAATCACTTCATCGTTCCACCACGTCCCCCCCCCACCCCCGCAACTGAGACTGTTCAGATTCTCGACAACATGTTTGCGAAGCATTTCCAACATGCCGGATTAGTTCTTAGTGCATTGCGGCGATCGATTGGAGACTGTACAGTGCGGCAGTCTTTTGTAAGGTGGTTGTTTCGCTGACAGAATAGGCACTGTTGTTGCTTGAAAGTCTTTGTACGTTGAGTTAGCTCTGTAGTGAACCTTCTCGAGGTCAACGACGCGTATCTGCTTTCAAACAGGGCTCTAGAGGAAACTTGCTCGTGGAGTTCTTCTAATAATTTTCCGACTGTTTGCTTTTGGTCGGGAGTTCTTCTAATAATTTTCCGACTGTTTGCTTTTGGTCGGCTGATGACATCTTCATACAGTCTTTTATGACATCATATGGGAATTTGGAGAGTATAGTGTCGATCCAGAGCGGATCGTGTTTCTTGCGGATGTCATATCCTGTGGCGACCATTTGGAAGACGAGATCATTCACTCTTTCGAGTGTATCAACACATTTTTCAGCCGTTAGGGTTGCCTTGGGAACATCGAGCAGTTGTTGTACTATATGTGATCTGTTGTTTGCTTTATTACCGAACTTCTTCTGTAGCACTTCAACGATGAGCCTGTAATTTGAGCTTCTCATCGGGATGCTTTTGATGGCTATCTGCGCCTTTCCTCGTATAGCATCTTTGAGGTATAAAATCTTTTCTAATTCACTAAGTTGTGGATTCTGGTCGACTATCAGGGAGTAGGTATCCCAAAATTCTTCCCAAGAGTCGTTATCGCCACTAAAATGTGGTAGTTTGATCTGCGGGTATTTTATTCTCAATGCTGGGGAAAATTCGAATTGTTCTTCTTGACGTTGACTTTCCCATAGTAGCGGTTGTGCATCGCTGGATTTTGGTTTCTGATTGCTATGCAGTAAACCGCATGGATCGGTCTCTTCGTAGTCATCCTCTGGTTGGACGACTTCTTCAGCCTGAGCCGCCGAGGATGCCTGTTGACGGGAAAGGTCAAGAATCGTGGCTTGGGTTTTTATCTCTCTTATTCTTGCATTGATTCCAGCAACAATGCTTTCTGCTTCTTGCTTCAGACTTCGAAAGTCGTATTTTTGTCTAAATTCTTCAATTTCGGTCAGCATGTCTTTCTTCTCTGTTTTTGATGCTTCACCATATATTTTCATTATGTTCTGATATACGTTTTGAAGTGCATATAACTTGTTTGTTACGGTTTCGTGCGCTGTTTGTAGTTGGCACAGTCTTTCTTCGCAATATATGCGTATTTGTGAGTGGTCCTCCGTAGGAGGTTCATTGGGATGGATAACTGACTTGTAGACTTCAGTGACCTCTTTCAGGCCTTTGTATTCATCCTCCATACATTGGAGGTGGAGTGTGATTTTGCTCATCTTTGAGTTCTTTCACCTGTTTTCTTTGAGACCAGCGGTTCTGTAGCTCAATAAGAGGCAGAACGAGCTGATTTTTTGCCACGCGGGATAGGCTGGGTTGAAGAGGCCGATGCACCAAAGATTTGTCACGGCCTATCCTCTCTTCTCTCTAACAAAGGATGCTGACCAAGCTATTTATTTTGTAGTATCAAGTGAACAGTATGAGCGGCGGTGGCAGAGCTCTCGCCGGTCCAGCTCACCACTCCCGGCGCTGCTGGGTCAGCCGACTGCCGTCTGCCTACCCTTAGAAAAGTGCAGCTCCTCCCACTGTCCGGCGAGCGCTCTGCCTTGGAACGTACGGTAAGGAGCGTTGCGGTTGCAGGTGCATACCGCAACATAGTTTGCTAGTAGTTCAAAACGCTGGCGTACGCCCAAAACCCTGACGCAAAGTACTGCAGCCTTAGCGCCCTTTCCTTTACGCTTTTTCTTAGCGGTCTCTATATTTGGATTGAGAGTCTCTCAACCTCACTTCTGCACCCATGTTATACCGTACACGTTGTTTACACCTTTAATACTGTTTCGAAAATTTGGTCAAAGCCAATTTCAGGCGCTCACCACTTTGCTATTTTTCATAGCATTTATTTGCACAGAAAAGAACCACATTAGGTTGGATGGGTTGAATTATAAATCATTTTTGGCAAATAGATAGGTAGGTGACACCTCGTTCAGACTTCTATATGAAATCGCTCGTGCGGCGAAGTCTGAACGCGGTACAATATAAGATAGATAGAAAGAGATTTCAGCACAGATAGAAAGAGATCTCAATAACAAATAAGCTAGATAGAGAAGTGTAGGAGTTGGAGCACGACGACTGCAGTGGTCTCGTCATGGAGCTACACCAATGTCTGAACCCAAACCACACTGGCTGAGTAAGGAAGCTAAACATACCTGGTACCCATCTGTGACTTTTTTGATTACGACACGAATACCGGTAGCACCGCTACCAGCTGCTGACACCAGACTTGCGGGCAACATCATCACTTTTTCCTACAAAAACTGTTTCTAACAAAATCCAACAACGAGAAAAAAAAACAAAGGGAAAGCTAAGGTATACCTCTCCTCCGAGTTTAAGTTCCCTCTGAGCTGAAAAGAGAACAGCAGCCCTGTCATAGAAGAAAGTCCCATCCTTAGGGAAAACGTCTGCGAAAGACTTCAAAATATGCTTGTATACAGCTACCGCGGCGACTTTGCGTTCCTGTTCAGGGAAACTGAAAAAGATTTTCTCAATTTACTATCATAGCAACGCACATAAGGTACGATACGAAATAAGAAGCATACTCGTCTTTCGTTTGCTTGGTTAGTTCCTTCAAGTGCTCTCGTGCATCATCCCCCTTGTACACGATGTACATGCGCACGTCGTACTTATAATATGGCACATTGGGCTTCAATTCTAAATTGGATCATCAAATCGTTGTGTATTGTAGACATTGAAGAATTTTAAAAAGCTTACTTAAGGCAGTCAAGTTGGTAACGAGTTCGAATTTCGATCCGATTGTTCCTGGAGATCTTTTTTCGGGCAGCGCCACAGCTCCTACCTATAAAATAAGACAGCTAATTTGTGATATAGTGCTTACTGCCTAGTTCTTCTCCAAGACCACTGCACTGCATAAAGAGAAATCTCAAATGTTTTTTTTTCAAAAGTTCAGTTGAAACACCGTAATAGCACGCGTCCACAGTAGGACTGATCTTCGAGGAAACCAACTGCACATAAGAAATGCGACTCGCCTCCTCCCACACTGTTAATGAAAGTCAGCCGTCGAGCCATTCCAGAACTGGATCAAGAAGACCGCGTCCATACACTGCTGTATCTAGGGAAGGAGAACTGGAGGTTGCGCCCCAAGAAAGTATACGCATCGATCTGGTGAATGGAGAAATAAGGAAGATCGGAGTAGGAGCGAATCGAGAGAATGCGCGCAGAATGACGGGGGTATCGATCCATTACTATTCTGCGATTTTAACAAACTATCGGTATGCACCAATCGATACGCGTCAACTCCCTTGGCGCACCACCACATAACGATTCTACTGTTTCTCCAAAACGGCACAGGTACCGACTCTTCCTCTGGCAAAGTATGAATACACCCCATCCCTCGGCCATTAAGATTAGGTTCAAACTTTGCGAATAATTCGAATACGGGTCTTCGATCTGGGAGGGGGACCAACCTTTTCGAGATATACGCGAAAATGAAAGCACACGTACAGTACTCGACAACTGAAGACGTGGTGTCGTGACGTCGATTATGGCAAGACACCAACATGTTCAACAGATAAAGAGAGCAGAGATTGGTGAAATAGCTGGTGCAAATCCAAACCCGTCACATTGACACACCCTCTCGATTCAACTGCTGAGGGCTGTATCTCCTGATCGCAGTATACTTTCTTACGATTTCATTGCCGACTGTCCCGGATACCCGCAGTGTGCGAAGACTGGAGGTGCTATGTGCCTCACAAGGGTCCACATCCACCGAGAATTAGTCATGTCAAGACTGCACGCCTGAGCTGGAACGCCTCAATAGGGCTTTTTCATACCAGATTACGATAATGTCTCACCAAATAGTGACCCCCTCAGGCGGTTACGTGACAACTAAAACTTTTAGTGGGAGTCCTGTTGCGACAGGCCATAAAGCGATAAAGGACTGCAGCTGCCAAGGCATTGTAGGTACCAGAAACATGGGTTGCCAGGAGATGAGTTTATCGAAGGAAGGAGGACGCCGGCGTGGATGAGCCACATAGTGTGCGTGAAAAGGTGGAATGTGAAAGGTCACAAAGCGCCACTCTACCGAGAAGCGCTGAGAAAATGTAGAGATGGCGTCATCAAAGGGATTGAGTTTTAGTTTTCCGTAGACCTCTAGGGCATACAGCGCCTAATCGGAAGAGGGGCTAGAGAATCATCAATTGCCGCTTTGTCGCCCGCGGCAATGGGCTCGACGTTTTCTTGAACTACCTTTCGATTGGAGCATCGGATTTCATGTAGACAAGGACATGGTAGACACTTATGTCTATTTTTGGTCATACATTGTGTATTTTCGACCAATACCACCTAAAATTGGCGCGACGCCGTTCGCGACACCCACTGGCGTGGCGAACTGCGATTTTCTTGCCGCAGACCCAGCCTAAGGCAGCGTTCATACTTGTAGCGCTACAGCGTCGCGCTACAGCGTCGCGCTACAGCGTCGCGCTACAGCGTCGCGCTACAGCGTCGCGCTACAGCGTCGCGCTACAGCGTCGCGCTACAGCGTCGCGCTACAGCGTCGCGCTACAGCGTCGCGCTACAG